TGCTGTGCGCTCCACAATATCTGTGAGAGTAAGGGGGGAGACATTTATGGCGGGATGGGAGGTTGAGGCAAATTGCCTGGCCACTGATTACGCGCAGCCAGACACCAGGGCGGTTAGAAGAGTACAGCAGGGCGCGGTGCGCATCAGAGAAGCTTTGAAAACCAATTTTGTGACTGGCCAGGCTACGGTGTGAAAATTCTGTTTGTTTCTCCTTAATGAACCCCCCCCTCCCCGGTTCACTCTACTTCCCTGTAAGCTAACCACCCTCCCCTCCCTCCTTCGAGCACCGCTTGCAGAGGCAATAAAGTCATTGTTACTTCACATTCCTGCATTCTTTATTAATTCATCACACAACTAGGGGGATAACTGTCAAGGTAGCCCGGGAAGGGTGGGGGAGGAGGAAGGACAAGGACACACTGCAGTTTAAAACTTTAAAACTTTAACACTTATTGAAGGCCAGCCTTCTGATGCTTGGGCAATCATCTGGGGTGGAGTGGCTGGGTGGCTGGAGGGCCCCCCACCGCGTTCTTGGGCGTTAGGGTGAGAAGGCTATGGAACTTGGGTAGGAGGGCTGTTGGTTATACAGGGGCTGTAGCAGCGGTCTCTGCTCCTGCTGCCTTTCCTGCAGCTCAACCATACGCTGGAGCATATCAGTTTGATGCTCCAGCAGCCGGAGCATCGACTCTTGCCTTCTGTCAGCAAGCTGATGCCACCTATCCTCTTCAGCCCGCCACTTGCTCTCTTCAGCCCGCAATTCAGCCTGCCACCTCTCCTCTCATTCATATTGTGCTTTTTTGCACTCTTACATTGACTGCCTCCACACATTCTGCTGAGCTCTGTCAGCGTGGGAGGACATCTGGAGCTCCGAGAACATAGCATCCCGAGTCCGCCGTTTTCTCCTTCTAATCTTCATTAGCCTCTGTGAAGGAGAAACATTTGCAGCTGGTGGGGGAGAAGGGAGAGGTGGTTAAAAAAGACACATTTTAGAGAACAATGGGTACACTCTTTTACATTAAATTTTGCTGTTCACATTACACAGCACATGTGCTTTTGTTACAAGGTCACATTTTCCCTCTTATATTGAGGGCCTGCCGGTTTGGTGTGAGAGATCACTCATGCAGTGCCAGGCAACAGAATTCGGCTTGCAGGCAGCCATGGTAAGCCACAGTCTTTTGGTTTTTTTAACCTTCTTAACATGTGGGAATTGTTTCAAACAGCAGTGCCCTCATTTCTCATACCCAACACCCGTTAGGTTGGCCATTTAAAATGGGTTTGCAATGTAAAAGGAGGGGCTGCGGTTTCCGGGTTAACATGCAGCACAAACCCAACAAACCCTCTCCCCCCCCACACCCAATTCTCTGGGATGATCACTTCACCCCTCCCCCATCCCACCGCGTGGCTAACAGCGGGGAATATTTCTGTTCAGCCGAGCGGGAACGGGCCCCTCTGAATGTCCCCTTAATAAAATCACACCATTTCAAACAGGTGATGACCGTGAATGATATCACTCTCCTGAGGATAACAGAGATAAGGAATGAATGTTGTCTGCATGCCAACAAACACTGGGACCATACCCTGCAATGCTTTGTTATGCAATGATTCCGGACTATGTGCTACTGGCCTGGCTTGGTAAAGTGTCCTACAATGGTGGACGGGATAAGGCAGCCCTCCCCAGAAACCTTTTGCAAAGACTTCGGGAGTACATGAAGGAGAGCTTTCTGGAGATGTCCCTGGAGGATTTCCGCTCCATCCCCATACACATTAACAGACTTTTCCAGTAGCTGTACTGGCCGCGATTGGCAGGGCAAATTAATCATTAATCATTAAACATGCTTGCTTTTGAACCATGTGTAATATTTACAAAGGTACACTCACCAGAGGTCCCTTGTGTGCCCTCAGGGTCTGGGAGCACGCCTTGGGTAAGTTCGGGGGTTATTGGTTACAGGTCCAGGGTGATAAACATATCCTGGCTGCTGGGGAAACCGGTTTCTCCACTTCCTTGCTGTGAGCTATCTTAATTTTCTTCATCATCATCTTCCTCGTACCCCAAACCCGCTTCCCTGTTGCGTGCTTCTCCATTGATGGAGTCAAAGCACACGGTTGGGGTAGTGGTGTCTGCACCCCCTAGGATCGCATGCAGCTCCCCGTAGAAGCAGCATGTCTGCGGCTCTGCCCCGGACCTTCCGTTTGCCTCTCTGGCTTTGCGGTAGGCTTGCCTTAGCTCCTTAATTTTCACGCGGCACTGCTGTGCGTCCCTGTTATGGCCTCTGTCCTTCATGGCCTTTGAGACTTTTTCTAATATTTTGCCATTTCGTTTACTGCTACGGAGTTCAGCTAGCACTGATTTGTCTCCCCATATGGCGAGCAGATCCTGTACCTCCCATTCGGTCCATGCTGGAGCTCTTTTGCGATCCTGGGACTCCATCACGGTTACCTGTGCTGATGAGTTCTGCGTGGTCACCTGTGCTCTCCACGCTGGGCAAACAGTAAATGAAATTCAAAAGTTCGTGGGGCTTTTCCTGTCTACCTGGTCCGTGCATCTGAGTTGAGAGTGCTGTCCAGAGCGGTCACAATGAAGCACTGTGGGATAGCTTCCAATACCGTCGAATTCCGTCCACACTACCCCAAATCCGACCCGGAAAGGCCGATTTCAGCGCTAATCCCCTCGTCGGAGGTGGAGTAAAGAAACTGGTTTAAAGGGCCCTTTAAGTCGAAAAAAAAGGCTTCGTCGTGTGGACGTATCCAGGCTTAATTTGATTTAACGCTGCTAAAGTCGACCTAAACTCGTAGTGTAGACCAGGCCTAAGACATTTATCCATGTCCTGAAAAAGACTACATTCCCATCTGTACCACCGAAGAAAACCAAGCCGAGGTACAGAGCAAAGGAAAATGAAAGTGTGTTCCCCGCTACCCAACCCACACACAATATGTGACACCCTGAAAACGTCCCTCTCAGTTTCATTGATCAGCGAGTGTCACCTGCACTTTGTTTGTCAGACCTCAGCCTCACACACATTACTGGATCAACCACTCCTCTCTCTGTTCCCTCTTCTGGGTAGCTTCCATTCCTTCCAAGCCTACCTCTCAGTAGAGAAGCTGGAGAACACTGGTTTTAGCTAGAATGCAGTTACTCCTTTCTTCTGTCTGGGCGAGATCTTGTAAGGGCTATTTATACATACATGTCTTTGCCCTATCCTCCTGTCTGTGAGCACAAGGAACCTGAGCAAAGAATCCAGTAAAAGCCCAAAGACAAAGGATACAGGTGGTTCATACAATCAAACGTGAGTTAATAGGTGTGACACAGGGTCAGAAAGGGTTATGCAACTAGCAAGCTAGTTCACCCAAATCCAAACTTTAAAGATGTATTAGAGAAGTATATAAATGGTAATTAGGGCCATTCCCTATAAATAGCAACATAGCCATGGTAAATGGACTAGAGCTTTGAAATGCAAACCTGTATTCTTAGAGAATTAGAGGTAATGCTATTTGTATGTGTTTACTTATATTGTGTTAGATGTTAACCTTGTAAACAGATGATTCCGGTCTATTGGTATATCTGTTGAGTCAAAGATAAAAAGAAAATATTAACATTTAAATTAAACTTGGGTGTGAAAACATCATTGTCTCTACTTCTCTTTGACATTTGTACTAAACTACCTATGAACGGCTTAAGTGATAATTACCTTATGCTGATGAATGGAAGAGTTACCTGGATATACGTAGGAAATTGGTAATTCTACTTCAAAGCAAGGATTCATCATTATAATAGCCTGCCAGTGGTCTATAAAAGAATACTTGGGTCCTGATCCTGTCATCTCAAATGTGCTTAAGCTTCATCAGAGGAAGCTCAAGTCACAAGACTGAGGTCTCCAGTTCCATTCTGGATCACCCTGATATTGGACATTGGCCTGCAACCTAAGGATTAATTTTGAAAGAACTCTTTGCAACTTTAAAGCTCACCATCTCTACCATGAAACTGACTTAAACATTCTCTTCATATATCTATGTATAGTGATGTCCGGTTACTTCAGGGTGGAGGGAGGCGTTGGGACATTAACCGGGGCTGCCTCCTACCCACAGGCAGGCTACTTGTCAGGCTGCAGCGGCTCCCATCCCAGCCCCAGAGCAGAGGGAGCCCAGCACGGGGGGCTGGGTGAGAGGTGGAGATTGTGATGGGATGTACCCCCGGGGTGAAGCCTGGAAGCTGTTGGAACCGCTGTGCCCCCAAACCATTAAGCTGGATTGGCCTCTCCCCCTGCTCTGCTGGTGACACACAGCCAGCCCCTCCAGGCCCTGTTATCACCCAACAAAACAGCACGTGGCGCCACACACTCAACTAAGTTACCTGAGTGCTTTAACTAAGCCACTCATGAACCAACAATTGAGGCATCAGCCAATTTCCTAGCTCCCCAGCCTTGCACCCTTACTGAATCAAAAATCCAGAATTAGACCATCTTGCACCGCACAGTGATCTGTATAGCGTAAACTCTTTAAATAGTCCTCTCCCCCCTCGATGGAGGGAAGATATTCACCACCCTTTGTTAACAGAGCTAAGATTACCAAACACTTCACTCAAAAACACACTTGTTAAGATAAAACATAAATCAGGTTTATTAACAACAGACTGATAGCTGTTAAGTGATTATAAGAGATAATAAACTGATCAAAGCAGGTTACCTAGGAAATCGAACAAACTTGCAGTCTATGAGTTGTACACACTAGATAGGATTTGAATCAGCAATAGCTCACCCTGACTGATGATACAAGCAGTCTTACAGATTCTTGAGGCACAGGCTGCATCTGCTTTGCAGCCTGGGTTCCCCTCCCCC